CCCTACATCCTGAGGATGTTCCCAATGATTAAACATTACTAGCCCTACATCCTGAGGATGTTCCCAATGATTAAACATTACTAGTCCTACATCCTGAGAATGTTCACAGTAATTAAACATTACTAGTCCTATATCCTGAGGATGTTCCCAATGATTACACGTTACTAGTCCTACATCCTGAGGATGTTCCCAGTGATTAAACATCACTAGTCCTACATCCTGAGGATGTTCCCAATGATTACACGTTACTAGTCCTTGATCCTGAGGATGTTCCCATTGATTAAACATTACTAGTCCTACATCCTGAGGATGTTCCCAATTTAGGACTAGTAATTTTAATCCATCCTGAGGATGTTCCCAGTAATTAAACATTACTAGTCCTACATCCTGAGGATGTTCCCAATGATTAAACATTACTAGTCCTACATCCTGAGGATGTTCCCAATAATTAAACATTACTAGTCCTACATCCTGAGGATGTTCCCATTGATTAAATGTTACTAGTCCTAGACACGGAGGATGTTCCCAATGATTACACGTTACTAGTCATAGAACCTGAAGATGTTCCCAGTAATTAAACATTACTAGTCCTACATCCTGAGGATGTTCCAATTGATTAAACATTACTATTCCTACATGCTGAGGATGTTCCCAGAGTTTAAATATTGCTTGTATCGTCATGAATGATGATGGAAAGTTCAGGCCCATTAGTTAGACTTCTGATGAAAACTAGGCATTGGAAACATTTCTCAAAATAAGTTAATAAAATATCTTGAAACTAACACACAAAAAATTCTGTTTTTAAAAGATTTTTCTTTTATTTTTCGTAGTGTGAAAAGTTGGTAGTTACTTTTGTGCTAGAAGACAGAACAATAGGCATTATTCTCATTAGAAGAATGACATTGGTTCTGTGTGTGTGGTGACTTATCAAGGGTTTACAGTAAGCAAGTAAAGATGATTATAAAATCAAATTTGGGCCAAGAGAAAAGAAAGTACATGCATGTATTTCACCAAAATCTTCAAGGTCCAGACCCTTAACCTTCAGACTCTTTACTTGTTTCTAATTTCTGATGGTGGGAAACGTACACCTTGCTTCGTGATAAATAAACCAAGATAACTTAAACTGAATGTTTGAAATATGTGTTATATATTCAGCCAGCTGTTTCTCATAAGCTAAAATGCTGACTTTCTAAAATTTTAATAGTTGTCTAGATTTATGTTAGTGGTGTTGATTATATAAAATTTACCTTAGCTTGTAGAATGCACTGAAGAGTCGGACAACAGGGTGTCTGTGTGTGGTGTTTTGTGTCCTCTGACCTCTTCATCAGCCACATTGAGTATTTTGTCACCAGTGGACATTCACACAGTGAAAGAACAACCTTGTAGCATCCTTGCTAAACAAGAAGAAAGTTTACCCCAGTTTGTAAGTCGATGTACAAAAGCTGTTCTACAAAGTCTTCTCCCTAACTATGAATCCCAGGAAGGTAACTCAACATCTGATTGTTTCATGTGTAATGTGATAACAGAGTTAAAGCTGTATACAATCTATGGTTGAGCAGTGTTATGGTTTTAAGTGCTTTTGTTGTCAAATCAAAAATTCTGTTCACAAATTACTAAATAAATAAATAAAATAATAAAAATGACAAGAAAGTTAACTGGAAATCTTGGGTTGTATCTATCATAACCATCAAAATGTACTTAAACATATCCCTAATTTAATTTGTCAGCATTACAATGTACCCAACTATATATATCCCAAATTTAGTCTATCAGCATTACAATGTACCCAACTATATATATCCCAAATTTAGTCTATCAGCATTACAATGTACCCAACTATATATATCCCTAATTTAGTCTATCAGCATTACAATGTACCCAACTATATCCCTAATTTAATTTATCAGCATTAC